ATTACATCAAGTGAGAAGGAATTATTTTAGGGAGAAGGAGAGAGAGAAAGAGGGAGTTCATTTTTCAGTACCCTACCCAGTGCCTGAGTGTGTTGAGTCAATTTGTGCAGGAGCAGGAGGAGAAGGACCTGGGAGAAGCAGGCAGCTGATCAGCTGCTCTCCTCTTGTCTGCAAGTTGTTTTTTTCCCCTCAGACCTAAAAACAGGCACTGAAAAGTAGGCTCAGGATTGGTGCTTTTCTTTTTCTTTTTTTTTTTTACACACCATGAACTTGTCTCCTCTTCCTTAAAGTTTACTGTGGATTGTTTTTGGAACAAAACACATGGTGACCTGCTGCAACAAGTTTCAGTGTCTGAGACTCACAATTACTCCTCTCTGGGTAGGAATGTCCTGTTCCTGTGCCTCTTCCATGCCAGTACATCCCTTCTCCCAGACAGAATGACTGCAGGACATAATCATCTCTTCAGAAATATGTTCTACTTGAACCCTTCAAATCCTATTATGTCAGAATTCACATGACTTCTTTCTCATGCTCCATTACAGGCCAGACTCCTTTATCCCACCCTGAACTTCCCCTAGGTCACTGCAGCTTCATGCCAAAGCAAGTGGCAAGCCAGGAGCCTGCAGCACCCCTGGCAGAGATATGCTCATTTTGAATTGACTTCAACTAAAACTCCAACTGAGTTCAGCAACACAAACATTCTAATTTGGGAACATCAACATTGTTCATTTCAGTCAAAAATGTTAAAAGAAAATATGTCAGCTTTCCAACATGTTATTTTAAAAAATGGTAAAATACCAGCATGTGACAGTGTTCACAGGGGTCTGAGGATGAGGGAAGAGACAAGGATCTGACTCCATGTTTCAGAAGGCTTGATTTATTATTTTATGATATATATTACATTAAAACTATACCAAAAGAATAGAAGAAAGGATTTCATCAGAAGGCTAGCTAAGAATAGAATAGGAAAGAATGATAACAAAGGTCTGTGGCTCGGGCTCTCTGTCCGAGCCAGGTGGGCTGTGATTGGCCATTAATTAGAAACAACTAACATGGGCCAATCACAGATGCACCTGTTGCATTCCACAGCAGCAGATAACCATTGTTTGCATTTTGTTCCTGAGGCCTGTCAGCTTCTCAGGAGGAAAAATCCTAAGGAAAGGATTTTCCATAGAAGATATCTGAGACACCAGCACAGTTCCTCTGGGATGGAAATTGTGATTCACACTTAGCCTGTCCATAGGCAGAGAGAATCGTGTGTGAGTGATAGAGAAAAGGACCTTTTGAGGCAAACCAAGGCATGGAATGTTAAAGGGCTTTGCTGTTTAAGGCCTTTGCTGCTGAAGGACTCATCTGGAAGACAGCATCCAGAGAACCAAGTTGACTGTGCACAATGTCACATGATAAATGATGGGGGCAGCTCAGATTTTCATAGTCTCTGGCGCTTACAATGCCACCACTGTACAGCCCCCTAAATACTTGTTTGAGGTGAATGATAATGATTGAGCAGCCTAAGAAGGATGCAACATTCCTTCCATCAATCCCCCATCTATTCCCAAGTCTGCCAGTCAGGCAGGAGCCAATGGAACAGGGAAAATTTGTCCTTGATTGCTCCACAGAACATTCTGACCCTTGCTCTTGCTAAATTGTCAACTTCTATCTCACTACTTGTGTTTTCTCAGGGGTTTATAGACTTTTATTGTTATTATTTTAGTCTTAAGTATTTGGATAACTAAAACTGAGTAATTCCACATCTCTCTTCATTCCAGTTTTCTGTTGCAAGGCTTTAGTTACCTTTCTTCTGCTACATGACCTTTGCCAGCAAGCTCTGCAGAAGAAGAGTGGCTGTAGAGAGGATAAGATGCCATTTCTAAGACAGACTTTAAGAGATGCTGTTTGAGGATTGATAATTTTTGGTCACCTTAAGAAAATCTTTCCTTCCTGCTCTTCTTCATTCTCATCACTTGGGATTTAAATGTATTCAAGTCATGGAGAGATAAAAGAATGAATGTGATTGCAAGATTTTGTCTCCTGTGTCTCAAGCACAAGCGAGCTTCCTCCTGAGCAAGGTTATTCTTTTCAGGGTGGGGAAGGATAAGGAGATTCTGTTTTGTTTTGTTTTACTCAGGATCCAAATGCCAAATAAGGAACTTCATACAATATCAACTCAGAGATCCCAAGCACAGAATTATAGGGTTTCATCCAACAGTAGTTGTAGTTGTATGAAAGGGATGAAAATTCTTGCAGCCATCACTTAGATGTGTGACATTGGACCTGGTAATTTCCCTGCAGCTCGTGGGAACCAACCTCCAGATCTCCTTGCAGCTTTTAACAACAGAATGAGGAAATCTCTTTGTAGCTAGAACTTTAGAGACAAAATGCTTAAACACAAGGAACAGTGATCAGCTTCTTGACCTCAGGCCAGTTTGCAGGGCGGAGAATTAGGTCCATGCTGAGATCTGAAAGTCACTTAATGAAGCAAATAGAAAGGCACTTAGTGAAACAACTAGGCTTTGCCAAGCTGGGGAAATAAAGCAGTCCCAAGTGAAGCTCAAGGAGCATGAATGATGCATTGGCATTGTCAACTTGGTAGAGCATCCAGCATACTAAATTAAATACATTTGAGACAGAAGATGGTAAGAAACTTGAATTCAGGGAGTACAAAACATCATCTCATGTGGTGACTAAATTAATGACTTCATTTTACAACTGGGAAGACCTCACTGGATAACCTCTTTTTATCTGAATTTTCAAGAGCAGGCACCATTCACTCTGACAAATTATGTGTAGGCACACTTGAGCAGGGCTGCAGCAGAAGATGAATGGATGTAGTGGATGGGTGGCCATGTGACAGCTCAGAAACCCTGGGAAGAGCTCTGGTTCCACCTCAGAGGCAAACCCAAAATCTCTGCAGCACTGAAATATTGACCCACATTTAAAGCACTGTGTTGTATCACTGATAGTTACTAGTCATAATTAACATTATGTTTAATTGCAAGGAAGATGTGTTGATATGAAGCTTCAGTAACTTTCAGTGGCATTCATATTCTCTGAAAAATTCCCTTCACCCAGGATTTTTCTCCTGGGAAGCTGAAAAGCCTCAGAGAAAAGAGAAACAATAATTATCTCATTTGCTTCTCCTGTGTTGTGCTCAAGTGGAATGTGTTTGGAGATGTTTACCCACAGATGATTGTTTCATTGGATTCTGCTGTGAGTTGTTTTCACTCATTGGCCAATCAGTGCCAAGCTGTGTTGGGACTCTGGAGAGAGTCACTAGTTTTAATTATTATCTTTTTAGCATTCAGTAAGCATCCTTTTTGTATTCTTTAGTGTAGTATATTATTCTTTAATATAATATAGTATAATAAAATAATAAATTAGCCTTCTGAGAACATGGAGTCAGATGCATCATTTCCTCCCTGCCACGGGAGTCTCTGCAAATACAATAAATAACCTTTTGCAAAAATCCTGTTGTGCTCAGTTGAGCTGCCTAAAGTTGCTATCACACAAAGTTTACTGTTTGGCCTTGTGGATACTGAGTAAAACAAACCACATCCAGGTGCCATCTCAAGTTTTGCAATGTGACTCCCAACTTTGATGGGAAGAAGACTAAAACTGTGTGTAATAATAACAGTGCCATCCCTTTTTGACGTTGTTGTGAATATTAATAACTAAACAACCTTGTATTGGGCATACAGAACAGCACTTTCCAACCAGCAGAGATAATAGATTGCCTAAAGATGGTAATTCAGGAAGATAAATTTGGATCTCAACTAAAGGGCACCTCAGTAATGTAAATGGTAATGCTTCTCTCTGTGGATTTTACCTTTAAAGAGTACACATTTCCAATTCCTCTGTCCCTCTATAGACTGAGGAAATATGCATTAACATATAGCTTCTTATTGTTCCCATCAGATGCTCACTCTCAGAGCTGCTCTAACCAGGATTGTAGTGGAACTAAATGAAATTTACATATTTCAGAATATATTCCAGCTGTTGGTTTTTGTTTGGTTGAGTTTTAATTCAAGTTAACTTTCTAGAACCAAGTCAGTCAAAAAGAAAGAAAATAAAAAAGCGTCAGTGTAGCAGCAAATCCTTTGCATTGAAACATCCCTAATGTAATATTCTAGACCTCAGCCCAAATGCTAATCCAGGCTTGTACTGTCCCAGTGGGGAAACTTTAGCAATATTACAGAAACCATGGTGAAAATCTTATGAAAGGGAGAATATCTCATGTGCTGAAGAAGGCAGAGTTGCTCCAGGCTTAGAAATGATTGCTCTTTCTGCTTTTTAATATTAGAAATATCCAGGACAATGCAGCAATTTATTTCTTTCTGCTCCTGTAAGGTGGAATATGAAAATCTATCCATGTCCTACCTGCAGATTTCTCATTTGTGAAACTCTGTATCCAATTAACACCTTTAAGTTTCATTCCTAACAATGATAAAAAAATACATATTTCTCTTTCATGGTAATGTGAGCATACAAAACTGCATATAAAAAGAAATACATTCTTGTATTTCCTATAGTAAAGGAAATGTAATTTAAATTCCAGAGAAATAACAGTATTTTTTTGTGTGTTTTGAAATGGAGTTCAAGTCAGGCATTGTGCCCTCAGTAGAGCAAAGAGAGCAGCTGCTGCAGTTTGCCTTTGACATCCTTCTCAAAAAGTCAAGGTTTAACTTCCAGGATTTTATTTTTTGTCTTCTAGTCCTTTGATGAGGGTTTTTATCATTTACTTTCCTCTGCCAATAGGGTTAAAGATTATTAATGGTGATGTTAACAAGAGATAACATGCAGTGTTCGAGTTTGGGTGGGGTTTTCTTGCCTTGGTAAGGATTTTTGCTTCCGATAATTGTTTTAAATTTGATAATTGTGCATTTTCTAATTCACTTGAAAACATAATAGAAGAGCCTGAAGAGTCTTTTATTTTCTTTTAATTTACATGAATAGGTAGCCCTAGACACTGCTTTAAAATCAAGAAGCTGAAAGAAGGACAAGTAAGGCAGAAAAGGAAATAATTAAATAATCCAGAGAGATGGATAGCAAGGCATAGTGAAGGCCTTATGTTATAAAGTTACATTTATTTTGGGCAGTTATGACTAACCCTGTGCTGAGTAATAGGATAGGAGGGAAAACAGGATTTCTCCTGGCTCTGTAGTGTTGACAGGCAGCACTTGCACTTCTTGGAGGTGTATAACCTGGAACTGAAAGTCAGGAGTTTCAAGGATATTCTTAGAACTGAGCACTTAGTCCCAAGGGAAATTCCTGACTCCTCATTGCTTATGACATGCTTGTTCAGCTCCCATTTTTCCATGTGCCAAATCAGAGTCTAATTGCAATATATCCTCGATTTAATCAGCAATCATATGGATTATACAAGGGCAATAACAATCTTGAAGATGATCAGTATTTTGGTCTTGATCTGCCAAAAGCATTAAGAGGAGTCATATCTTCAGCATGGACACAGTTTCCATGAAACAAGCCTGTTGTTCCTGCACACATTTGCTCTTTTGCAGGCAGCAGCAGGATCCAGGGCAGGAAAAGCAAGGGGAAGAGAGCAAGAACAGTGCCTGGGAGCACCATTTAAAACAGTTCAGGAATTTGGGAGCCCATCTGCCACCAGGCAATGACCTGATTCCTCTCTAGCATATTCAACTGTTGCTGTATGATTTTGAAAAGCATGGGTTATTTTGGCACTTTCTGACCTGCTTCTCAGAAAGCTTTTTGCAGATCCAGGCCCTGAGAACAGGAGGGTGCTCTGCTGAGACTGGAACCACTCCTACAGCAAAACTTGCTAGGTAGTCTACTTTTGGAAAACCAAAAAAAGTTTATCACGGTTTGAAATGATTTTCCATCATGGAATTGTTGAAGAGTGCTGTGAGAGGATTGCCCATGTTGGCCTGACAGTAAGGTGCAGCTCTGTGCTGGTGGAGCCAAACCTAGGAGGTGCCAAGGTGGTACCTGCAGAGGAGAGGAGGAGCAAGCAGAGGAGCAAGCTGGGCCAAGGGCCTGCAGCAAATAACAGTGCCAAGATCAAATGTGAGTTACCTGACCTGGTGCTACTCACAGAGACAAGGGTTTCTGACTCTGAGAGTGATTTCTTACTCTGTCTCTGCAAAGCCACAGGTGAGAATGAACAGCTTCACTGAGGTCTCGGTGTAGATGAAGAGCTTCCCATGTCATGGAGCTGAGATTTTGTGGGTGTCAATTTAGGCTATTAATCTGTTGGAAAGAGAGAAGAAATCACACAAAAGGACTGAAAAGAAAAGGGAAAGTTTTTCTGTGTGTTTCTGGAGTATTTAATTGTATAACCTTTGTGCTTCTGCTTCGAAAAGGAGATAGGATACAGCCTGGTTCAGTCACTAAGCTTTAAAAATAATTTGATTTTAATCTCTGTACTGTCCTACCTAAAAAATAGACTGACTGTCAGAAAAGAAAGAGTCAAACTGCAGGACTTTGAACTGCAGCAATCATTACTATATCAATATAACAAAAGATGAAACTAGCAGCACTGAGAAACACAGAGACAATTGTGAATAGGCTGAGGTAGGTATGAATTGTGCCACAGATTCCTGTAAGGCTCCTAACAAAGGTACAAGAGATGAGCCACAGACCAAGGCATCATTACTTAAAGGCACTAGAATTGAGAACAATTAGGAGATGCAACCCAGCATCAAGCACATCCAAGGCATTATGGTAATTTCACAAATTGGGCTTAAATGAGAAGGGAAGGATATAAACCCACAAGTTTTATTTCTCTTCTTCTTACTTTTGGGAGGTGAAAGAGCACTGCCTTATTGCAATTGCCCTTTCCAAGCCTGGTTAAGTAAACTCCCTGTAGTACAAAGGGTGAAGACCATGAAGACTAAAGTGATATTTCATTGTTAACCACAATAACTGCTCCTTGCACACCAATAGTCAGGAGATGCTAATTCATATCTCAGTCACACATTTCACTCCAGCGATCTGTCCATCCTGCTCTGCAGCAGACAAACCCAGAGTCTGCAGAAAAATCCAGCCAGCTGTGTGCATGCAGTGAGGCTTTGTGCTGGTCTGTGCTGGACTGCTCTGGGTGGTTCTCCAAGGATGAAGCCTCTGGATTTCTGCAGAATTTATCCCATGAGTTAGATATACAGTGGGAGGACTCTGCATGTAAAAAGGGTTTAAAAAGGAGTTCAAAGCTCTGTTATTGTAATGGCTCTTTCATTGATTTTTTTTTGATTATCACCTCAAGTTTGTAGTAGGACTCAGGGTCCAACAAAATCCAACATGTCAGAGCAGTGGGACAGCAGAAGGGCAGGGAAAACCTTTCCTATGGACGCTGATGGAGGGAAATCTGGAGGGAGAGTCTTGGGAATAACTTGAAAGATTTCACTCCAAGTCCATAGATTCAAACAGAAAAATTTCCAGGTGACAGGCAACCACTCCAGGTGTTAGGAATGCTGATGACTTACCGTCTCCAGATGCATCCTGCCCTGCCCTCAGCTCTTGCAGAGGCAGAAGGTAAGAATACATCAATTTAGTGGTGACCCAGTTGCTGATCTGCTGACATTTCTCCATAACTGAACCTCACCTTCCCTCCACAGGTCATTGCTCTGCTGTTGGTGTTTCAGACCACATCTCCCCTCTTCTGGGTGGAACAAAATCAGAGAGACCCTAGGAAACAAGGATCACAAACTTCTTTCCTGTGTTCTTGTCCCAGACCAGGGCAGAATGAACTCATAAGCACCTTTAAATTGCTCCAAGATGAGCACAGTGGCAGCTTGTTCTTTCCAAAGTTAGCTGTGCTGAGTTGCTCTTTTTTCTCTAACAGGAAAAAAGTGTTGCTCATTGTCAGTGTTGTTCATTGTTAGTGGTACAAAAGCTCATCTCAGAGCTCTGGCAGCTTTTGCAACGTTATCACAATTTTTCATGTAACTGGTATTTGGTTGCATAAGGTAGGAATACAGTAGGAGCAGTGAAGTTTTTAAAGCACAGACTTCCCTGGTATATTGGCTCTTTTGACCTCCTTTACACAGTGTAGTCTTACCTAATGGAGTTTTCTGGGTGCTCAAATATGAACATTTTATATTTTAAAAAATGAAGGAAGAACATTTCATTTAAAACTGAATGTGTGGGCTGGTACCTGAGCTGAGAAATAAATCATTGTATTATTGTTGTCATTCTCCTTAGACCCAGGAGATATAGTGTGTAAGCTGTATTTTAAAAGTTAACAAATTTTCATATGGAAATATAAGGTAATATGTTTAAGCAACTTTTAACACAAAGAACTGTATAGAAGTATTATTCAAAGCATTATTGATGGAAAAAAAATTATCATTGCCCCAGAAATGGCTCCTTGGAAAATATTTTCCCTTACTCTGGAAGCATGAATATTGAAAATCTTTTATCATAATCACCATTTTTTCCCCACCATTTTGTTGAGGAGCAATCACCTTAAATTCTGAATGATCCAATTCTTGTGCCCGTTTCTCATATCAGTCTGGCATAATTACACCTGCAGAGGGATGAAAACACAGCTTTGTGAGCTTATTGTCTCTGAAGTAATTGCTATTTACCCTGGGATATAAAATTTAAATCACATCCTTTCTGACATAGACCTCCTCACGCACTATAGGACACTCTGCAATCACAAGTGAATAAATAAATCTGATGGTTAGTCAGAAGAATCAAGCCTCCAACTCCAGCTTTGTGTCTCATCTTCATTTCCCAAAACCATTCTAAATACAGAAAAAGGTGTCAGGTTGCCAACATGCTGAAAATAGAAGCTCCCAAAGCTCCAAGTCAAAAGAAAGTACAAACTCAACCAAGTGGCCTTGTGACTTCCAGCCTAGCCCAGCTTGGCCTGGCCCATCCCAAGACATCAAATTTGGGTTTCCCAGTACTGCAGATTTTGGGTCTGCACTGAGACAGTAGCATGAGCTATAAAAACAAAACTCTGTGCAGTAAAGAGAGACAATTTTTTTAAAAATAAAAGTGCTTAATAGGGCCAGTGGACTGATGGAATCATAGCTGGCACAGTTCCTAGCAAGTGTTTACTTTTACAAGCCAAGTGTTTTTTGTGAAGACAAATTGTGTCAAGCAGCATGTTAAGCCCACATACTTGTCTATTCCCTGTGAGGATACAAGGGCTGGCCTTGATATCCAAATGAGGTCAGAAGAAAATTTCCATCACTTGCTGCTTTTAAGAAGTGAAGAAGAGAAAAAGGGACAGCCACAGAGGTCCAGGAGCCTTCTGTGTGCAGCCTGGGCTGCCTGGACAGTGCAGCTGGAGCTGCTTTGCCAAAAACCTCCCTGGAAGGTGAGGGACACTCAGAGCGAAATCAAAGCCGTCCAGAAGGGACTCAGAGCTTTCAGCAGTAACGTGAGATTGCCAAGGACATAGCTCTGGATGACACACCTAGGGTTATTTTAGCAAATGAGTGTTTCCACTGCAATGTGGATGCTCACAAAGATGCAGCAGCCTGGAGGAAAACAGCGTGACTCGATCACAGCGTTATGGGTAAGATAGGTGGTGTTGGATTGTATAGCTGCATGAGTCACAAGGTAAACTATCCCACATTGCTCCTAAAACAGCTTCAACTTCATAATCAATCAGAAGCACTTTTCCCCCATTTCCTATTCTCATTCTAACATAATTTGTATGGTAATAGGGCACTGAGGCCTCAATCAGGAAAGCACCAAGCACGGAACAATCGAGGGATTGTTACGATGCAATGTTTGTAACAGCTCTTCCCCAAGTACAATTTTATGGGCAGCAAAATGCTACAATCAGGACATAGAATCTACCAAATAAAACCCAAGTTAGGAGAAAACAGCCTAACTGTATTTTCATCAAAAGTACAGGAAGCAATAGGGTTCTCTTAAAGCCTGCCTCACAAAAAGTGAAATGAATCTGTTGCCTGCATGATGAAGCTGTCCAAGACATTTTTGGGATAATAACGTAGCACTCCTCAGTGCAAATCATAATATATTCTTATGTGCAATAACACAGGCACAGCTAAACTGAAGAATGGCTCAGACACTGAAGTATTGGCCCTTCCAGTCTCTTCTCTTGTTTTGGAAATCAGTTTAGAAAATCAGATTGATTTTCCTGGGCTGCAGGCAGGTTGCAGGCAGACAGCTTTCCTTACTGTTGGTTTGGCTGGTTTTTAATAACATCTTTTTGCTTTTCCTTCCTCTTTATTCACCATCTGCAGGGCTGCTTGGAAAAGAAGCAGTGTCCTAAGACATTTCTTAGCAAGGAGGGGCCATGTCCTGGAATTTGGGTTGGATGGTTCCATGCAGAAATTGCTCCTCTGTGTGTGGGTTGCTATTTTTATTTCTTTATGATAGCCAGACTGTTTTAATTATTTCAATAATAACAATCATGTGTGCAAGGAAGGATATTTTTTTGTCTATTGAAGGAGCTGGACAATAATTTCAAGGAGAGGGTAAAGGAAAGGAAATAGCTTTTTTTAGAGAGTTCTTGATACAATTTCTATGGTAATAACACTCAGATTGCTATGTTTGACAAAGAACATATATATATATGTGTGTGTGTGTGTGTGTGTATATATATATGAGGAAAAACACAGGCAGGGCAGGAAAGGTGGCTAAGGAGAGTGATGCATTTAAAATGCCAGGTTTAGTCTGAGAGGGTGGGAATAGGTAAGACAGAAATTGCAGGCTTGACTGATTTCTTCCCTGGATACCTGACATGAGAAGCAGTGTTGGCTGCAGCCCAGCTGATGGGACCATTCCACAGTTTGACTGCCAGCCAAAAGAGCCTGTTGGGTTTCTGTGCTCCATTTGGTTTGTTGCCACAAACAGAGAATAAAGCAGCCAGCAAACACCCAGCAATGCTGACCTCCCCTCTGCAGCTGTTTTATGGCTGCTTCAGCAGATGGGGGCTTTTTGGTGTAAATGTAGAGAGCTTCTGGAATGATGGAATGGTATTTTCGCTGTTTTGTCACACAAGCATATTTGGAGGCATATGGGGGATGTGATCTGGTTCCTCCTGTGTCTGTGATCACTTAATTTATGCAACACCTGCTGAAGTGAAGGGTGAGATTAATTTTGCTTATGTCTAAATTCCTGCCAGGTATTTCCCCTGGACTCTTTTCATGCTTGCTGGACAGAATTTGACATTTTTAGCGAGCAGAGAGTCTTGATCTCCTTAAGTGTCCCCTTGAGTTTAAGTGAATTATTCAGCGTCTTTTTCTCTCCCCTTGACCTCTCAGGGTGGTTAGATAAAGAGCCTAGACATAAATGTCTGTGCTGTAAACAACTTAAATGAGATCCCACAGAAGATGTCTGGGCCTGGCAGAACCATGATGCATCCATAAGCATCACTCCTGCAGTTAGTGGCAACATTGTCTCCCCAGGTGAAATGCTTACAAGAACTTTTCAAGAAGGCTTTTTCTGGATCATGGCAATAATACCTACCAAAAAGAAAAAAAAAAAAAAGTTGGAATTTAATGGGCAATGCTTTCTAATTACTAGAATTATTAATACTAATGCTAATAATAATGTGTCTTGGCTTGCTATCTTCTCAGTTTGGGTTTTTTCTCCCTGCAAGAAGTCTTTATTTAGATCTTCTGTCACTATGAACTGAGAATGTCAACATTTTGTTAACAGAACTGGAAACACATTTAAAGGAGAAAAACAAACCGACTAACACTCAGAATATAGTTAAATCTGATTCAGCTTGGGTTTATATCTTTTGTGGAGGGTGAATATGGAGACAGCATCTGTGCAAGACTCATGTACGATTTCATGCAAAAAATATTATTTCTCCAGGTTACCACCTAAAAGATATACTATTCCAGTGTCTTCATTTCCATCTTTAAATTGACATTTTGTTCCCTTGGATTGCAAATGTATTTCAGAGATGTTTCAACTCTCTTTTCTGCTCTTGTCACTTCTCTAATCACAAAGCCTTGTGGTCTTTTAGGCAGCTGGCAGATATACAGGACAGGAGTAATGAGATATCATCATGATTACTTCAGAATAAATCTCTTATGAATAAAGGAGGATGTCAGAATTCCAGGTTTTACATGCTGTTCTAAATATCTTTTTCAGAAAGTAAGACTAATTCCTATTATAAGATTATATTATGTTTATATACATATAATACATATATGATTATATTATATTATATTATATTATATTATATTATATTATATTATATTATATTATATTATATTATATTATATTATATTATATTATATTTGAAAAAGTGCCTGAGAAAATGAAGTCCCAAAATTTTCAGAATGTGATTTCATTCTGTTTCCATCTGCAGGGAAAAAGGGGAAAGTTTTCTTCCCCTTTCCCTGAAGGGAAAGACCTTCACAGGTGTAACAATCACTTTATTTCTGCCTCATCAGAATTTGGCTTGCTGGGTTTTGTCCACCCCACAAATGGTGTCAATGGGGTCACCTGTGTTTGATCATTAGAGGGAATGCTTGTTCTTATCTGCATCCCACACTTGACTGGAAGTGCAGGGCTCCTCATCAGGCTGGAAGTGATTAATTCAGTAGGAGCATCCTTCTCTTGATGTCAAGGAAAGAAAGGTCAGTGCCAGCAATTGCTGATTAAGTTTAGCAAAGTGAGGAAAGAAGATTAGCAGGATTGAGCTTTGTCACCTCTTGCTTTTTGGTTCAAGTCTTCAGTGAATGAAAAATCATCTGTGCCTGATTAGAATTCATGTCTGTCAGAACATATTTCAAAGAGACACTAACTTCTACATGGCTCAGGCTGAGGTAAGTCTGGAAAATTCACCTTTCTTTACAGAGAGTTCAGCAAAGACAAATGAACATTGATGAGACTGGAAGGTTATTGGTTCAGAGGAAGTCAGTGAGAAACTTTTCCTGGAGTTCAACTGCAGCTAAGGATTCTTAAGGATGCTGTGGATTTTGACTGCCACTTCTCTATTGTCTTCCATGAATAGCATATGAAAGTAGTACAGAGAAACTTTAACAATAGCTACAAGTCCAGGCTTCTTTTTACATAATTTGATTTTGCCATTATCAGGGAGGTAAGCCCTGGTTATTTCATTCAGGAAATAGCCACACATTTTTTGAGGAGTGTGAAAAATGAACTAGACCCCTTAAAGAAATAAAGCTTTTACAAGAAGAAGAAGGGGAAATATCAGCAATATTAAGCCTGCAAAAATCAAGCTCATTTCTCATGGCCAGTTGCATAAGAGTAATTTTTGGCACAATTTTTAGGGCAAATATGATACAGAGGAGGAGTGGGCATGGAAGCCAGCCTATCTAAGACAACCTGCCTGATACTCAAGGGATTTATTAGCAAATTGCACAGCATGAGAGTGTTCCTGTTTTATTATTGTACCTTCCTTTTGTTAGGTATTTACTGATTGCCGTGTCAGCTTATTGCTCCTGAAGAGCAAAGAAATTGGAAAAGATAGGCAGCATTCAGCTTTTCTCGAAAGAGATCTCATTTTCTGTCTGTAGGTTCTAGAAATGTGAACAACAAAAGAAAAAAGAGAAAATT